GTTTTTGTAGTCTGCCCAAACCTCATGGGATAGAACCTCGCTCAAGCGATCCAAAGTCACGCCGGTCTCCTCGAAGTGATGTGTGGGCATCGCCGCTATGGCAATAGGACCGACTCCCTGGTGAACCATATGCAACATATCCTGAAACTGCTGGCCCAACACTGCACTAGGAACATCCAGTAACAAATCCTGAACAAAAAGAAACCAGTCCTATGCCCGAACAAAATAAACAAGATATATATATATAGGGTCGGTCCAAGGTTCATCCAAGTTCCGGTCCTTTTGCCACCCCCTCACAGCTAGCCAAGCGCTTTGCTTGTTGGGAGGGTTTAGAAGCACAAAATCATCATGGGAAAGCATGCATTCAAAATATGCTGCATTGTCGGTGAAATCGGTGTAGCCAAACCCGTTGTTGATCTTGGACGCTAAGCAGTGCTCACAGATCGAGTCAGCCGCCCAGTTCCGGACAAGTTTATGGCAAATAACTCTCGCTTCGAGGTCCCCCTTCCAAGCAGCAAACGCAAACTTCCAACCGTTGCAGAATGGGGTGTTGGCGCGTTGAGCCTCCAAAGAGTTAGGAGGGAAGTCGGTCCCAGCAGGCCTTTTTTGTGGATAGTTGCCACTCATAAGAACATCCATACAGTAGGCTATGAGCCTGCCGACCGAGTCATGAGTCTTGTCCTTCACGATCAGCGTGTCTCTCAAAATGAGAAATAACAATTTTGTATCGATGCTGGGACCCTTACGCGTGCATGCCGACATTGAATACACCCAGACTTTATGGGTTTTGAACACCTTCACCCCGTCACAATGCCACGCAATTGGTACTGTCCATTCAGGGTGTTCTAGCTGAAGCTCACCATAGAAAGGAAGGTGTGAAACATGATTCCAGAACTCACCCACGCTTTGATGTGCAAGGTTTGGGTCGTCGTGCACCCATGACAAGAACTTGTTGTTCTCATACATCCAATGCAGAAGATTCCAGGGCCAAATTACCCCACTCTGGTGATCTGGATCGTTCACATCCAGCCGCGTCCGGTCAGGATGAAGGTCACAGTGCTCCCGGCACCACCTCGCAACGCGCGCACACACACCCAAAAACATGTATACTTTTTGTGCATTTTCTAAAACCTTCTAAAGAGTAACATGCTGCATGTTTGATTGCTTGCAAAAGCTAACATTGCAGTTTAATCCAAACATTTCTGCAGATGTGATGTACGCAGATGTTTTGAAAGACTGACTATGGACCTCTGGAAGTCCCGCTCGCAATGGCCCGAAGAATTCCAAGATGCAATGAGATCACTCAGGGGGCAACCAAAGCCATCTTGATGTAATTGGTCTGCGTCTCTACATCCATCTTGAACAGAAATCGCCTGATTGGCATGAGGTTGCACCACTATAGAACTAGCCTCTTAACTTTGAAGAATGAAACCATCGAAATGAACATTTGAGGCGATGACTCCTGAACACATTCTTTTCAAGATCTTCTTTGCTGACCCACTTGCGAAGTCCAGCACACGCTTTCCTGTCAGACGTTGAGCATTGGAAAACATGATATAATAGTGTTCAACTATGTTCAACTTTTCAAGTGCATGTTCAGGAGACATCGATGCCTTGAACATGCCCGTAGCTAGCCAGCGTCCGATCACCTGCCATGCATGGCGGTGCATGGAGAGCTCATGGAATGCAGGGGCTCCCAGCCTTCCAGGTGGGGGCGGGTTCTGGATCTTGATCTTGCTCTTGCTGAAGACGAAGTGGTATACCTGGAACGCATGGCTGGTGGGAGTATTTGCTTCATGACTCATCTCTGCATGTGTAGCTGAAGAGGGTAGGCCTTTTTTGGCAGGTTCGATCCATCCACACGCAAACTGTGCATTGCGCAAACCCCTCCAAGTCCGCCGGCTGGAGAACGTGTTGAGAACAATTTCATTGCGAACATATGATGGTTGACCAAGGGCCTTTTAAATGAGCCAACCAGCCAGCATACTTGCACCCCATACGCTCTAAGCACACCTTGAAGGAAGATGGGCCCGCTTGGGAAATCATTTGAAGCACTTCAAGGGTCTTTAGGCTTAGCCTTTGGCGCCGCCTTGCCTTTTGCAGACCCCTTGGAACCAGATGCCTTCTCACTGGCTCTCACAAGGGCTTTCCCCAACTCGATACGCTCTTTGCATGTCTTGGAGACCTTGTCCACCTTCAGAAGCAAAAAAAGGAGTTCCCACCCAAACTGTTTGACGTTTGTTGAAACAAATGGCACTCTTTGTATGAACTAGCCTCCAAAATGATGTCCTTGTAGTGTGACGTTTTGTTCTTTCCCTTTTTGACAAGCTCCTGAAGCCTCCCTGCCAGAGTCTCCAGTTTCGTGGCGACCGCATGAAGCTGCGCTATGAGGTCTGAAGACATCTTGATCGGCTGAAGTCGGAATGCTTGGGTCCTCAGTCGGAAGGCTTGTTGCTAGCTGGTCGAGAGGGAAGGGAACCCCTAAGCCAAGAACCTACAATCGCCGACGTCTTTCAAGACTTTGGTCAGGAGCGAGGTCGCTTTCGACAAAGGGGTTTCCGGGACCACCTGGCACTAAACGGTGAACACTTTTAATGAATGATCGTGAATGATATTACAAGACTGTTTTGTTTTGAAGAAAATGGATTTAGGCCTCCTTTGGCTTCTCCTGTACTTCCTCCTCCGGTTTTTCACCTTTCGTTCTTTTATTCTTCTTTGGGGGTTGCATGCTCATGGTGTTCAAAAGCTTGTTGGCACCAATCGAGCCGGCAAAGTCGGCAATCTTCAGACCCGACTCAGGATCAAACACGCCACCACCCTGGCAGTGCACAGACCACGAACACACAGCACCCGAACTACGAGTGTGCACATGAAACATGAGGTGCATGTATGGAAATCGGCCTTCACAAACTCATTCAGTCCCGCTTCATCGATACACCCTTCCATCTCTAGTTTGGTAAGCCGGGAGATTTCATGGATGTTCTCGCAATCCAGGCTGACCAAAGTCCAGTAGAGCCTTTCCTCCGCGTCGTCCGGAAGCTCCGGATCTGGGACATGCCTAGGCTGTCTTTCTAAAGAATACCAACCACGAGTGGGATACAAACTCACAAGTAGGATGCAAACTGGTTCGTTTGAAATGCGTGCAACCGTGGAACAGTCCGAGGGCCTTTTTTCGTTCGATGAGTTTTCTTCCCTTTTTATCCCCGTGTCTATCAAGGATCCACTTTTCGCCTCTAAAGCCCCATCGGATTTGAGACTTTGTTGAATCCAAGATGGACTGTTCGTGTCTCAGCAAGATATCCTCGGCCTTACCACCGCATTTCACATACTCGGCGAAGAGCTTGTTTCGGCCATCCTGCGCACAAACAACAAACAGTGATAACACCTGCCGCACTTCGAAAGGAAGATAGGAACAGGAGTGTAACACGTAGTGCACTTATGAACACTTCAAAGGAGGTGAGGAATGAATGAAACAGTCCTCACCATTCAAAGCTGCTTGAAGCTTTGCTGGGAACCTTTTCTTGTTCTTCACCCACCGGTCGAACCGCATCCAAAGGGCGCGGTGTGTAGAGGAGTTGATAACCTCTGGACTTTCTGACTCTTCTCCTCCTTTACCATCCATCTCCGCCTCAGCCTCTTCCAGCGCTTTGGTCGTCTTCTTCTTTTTTTGAGGTGGCTCCTCGCTCTCACCGTCGCGCTTCTTCTTCTTGTCCTTTCCATCTTTCACACTTTCCTTCTCTTCCTCATCCTTCTTCTTCTTTTTTCCAGACAGCTTGTCCTTGCCCTTCTTGTCATCGTCCCTCACTTCTTTCTCATCCTCATCCTTCTTCTTCTTCTCTTTCCCGGGCGGCTTGCCCTTGTCCTTCTTGTCACCATCCATCACTTCTTTCTCTTCCGCATCCTTCTTCTTCTTCTCTTTT